GTAAGATTGCACTTGGGGACCTGGGAAGCCACTGGCTCACCAAATGCACACATTCTGAGAGAGAAGTGCTCTCTTCCCACCTTGTGAGACTTGTGACTGCACACTACAGACTGAGTTCCTGACACAGGACAGCATGGTCCCCATTAACAACACCCACTCTCACAGTGAGGTAGCTGCCAACCATGCAGGGGATACTCTTTACATGGGGTTCACTGGCTGCTGCTGCATGCACAGAACCATCACTACTGGGAGTTGAGAACAACTCCCAGCCTTATCACACCAAGGGTGACAGCAGGTGTCCTTGGGGACCAGGCAGCCAGAGGCAGGAAGCCCACTGGTGAGTCTCCTTTCTGTCGCTAGCTGGCCAAGTGCACATGATCCAGCCACTTGGCTCTGTCTGCTGAACTGTCACAACACCCAGGCCTTGGTTCCTGCATCTCAGGGGCTGCTGAGGACCCAACACTGGTGCTTTTGCCCATGGAAAAGTGCTTGGCAGACATAAGGGAGTCCTATCAATGAGAGGATGAGCAAGACCTGCCCTCCACCCAGCTCACTCACTCTGTTTCCAAGCAGCCAGAGCTGTGTTTACAGCAGCAAAGAGGTGGCCTGCTCGTCAGAGGGGCCCCAAGCCCTGCAGACACTTGGCTCTGGTGTGACAGTTATGTTTATGCTGTCACCCTTCACATGGTTCAGAGACAGAAATAGAATACCCAGCACCTCCTCTGGAGGAGCCGGGAAGGAAGGAAGGGTAGTGGTTAGGGAGGGTGACCTGCAGAATCACAACTGCAACCTCCTTGTACCTCAACCATCTCCAGAAGCTGCCCAGTGAGCCAGCCTGGCTCAGCTGGATGCCCCAACCAGTCTTGAAGACCTGAGCTACCTAAAGGCAAGTCCCACAGCCCTCATGAATAGCACACTAGCTCTGCAAGGGTTCATATAATCGAAGCAGAACTACTAGCGCAGGTTCCTGGGAAGGGTTTCCCAAGGCAGATGGACAAAGACTGAGGGCCCTGTAGTCTAGGTCATCATCCTAAGACAGGTAAGCCTGCTGAACTCCAACCTATGGCCCTTGAATCTGTGTCCTAGCAGAACTGAGGAGGACAGAACAGCGGGAGCCAAGTCGTTCCTAAGACCAACAGTAGGACAGAGGGAATCCAGCCACTGACACAACAACCAAAGTGCTTTGGAGCAGCTCTGCCCTGCACAGGGCCCTGCCAGACCACCCACTTCCCCAGCATTCAGGCCTGCCAGGGTCTCTGGATAGGGAAGTGATGAGTAAGCCTGGGCTGAGGAGCCTGGCACACTGCAGACCAAGGCACCAGTCAGGAGCCGCAGCCCAGACAGCCCCGCAGCTTTGTATGCCAAGCCCACAGCCTGAGTGGGAATTCAGGCTCCATGGAAACTACTCCCCAAGGGGCGATGAAGTTTCCAGCACTTGGGGACACTTCAACTGTCCTGGCGCAAGCACAGAGCTTGTACTGTGGGAAGAGGCTGTGAGGGCCACTGAGCTCCCCAGATGGATGTTCCTGGGAGGACAACAGTGGTCCAAGAGGGGACACAGTCTTCTCCCTTCTCCTCTGCAGATCCCAGAGGTTCATGTGGAGGCACTGGGGATGGGGAGGGCTGGTGCAGTACTTTTCCACGAGCTGCTGATGACACAGAATGCTGCTCTCCAGGCCTTGCGCCTCACACTTCCTGAATGCTTAGGTTCAGCTTTCCATATTTTTTCCTTAAAAAATAGGCCTGATGCCTCCTTTTAGCAATTTCCCTTGAGAACCAGAAGAGTGGGTGAAGAGCTGCGCAGAGAGCAGAGACCAGCATGTGTTCTTAAGGACAGGGTCCCCACTTTGTTAAGAGGCTGGCTCCTAGAAGTACAAGAAGGGGCCTCAGGATGTAAGCTCACAAGCCACAGAGCTAAGTCATAAAGATCACACTGAAAAGCTGCCCGCCAGCCTGGGAACTAACTGGGTTCCTGCGCTCCCTCCAGAAGGAGTGTGACTGGTGACCCCTGCTGGTCAGCCAGGTCCACGCCACGCCAGAGAGCCCCCTACAGGCCAGGGACAACCTGCCTCCTCTCCCAGCAATTCCTCCCAGAGCCATGGGGACATCCTGCTGCTCAGGGTGAACTTGAGGCCAATCCTCAATAGCTGTGCAGGAAAATTCAACAAAGCATGTGAATTTACCAGTAACTCCATGCTGTAAACCAAACCAAGATCTACCTTCCAAAGAAGAGCTTTCAGGGGAAAACATACCCAAGACACTTTCTTCTTAAGGTTTGTTTTCTGTATTTCCTTTAATCAATATGTATTTTAATAATAAAAAATAATCACATACTTTAATAATTTCCTGAACTTAAAAAATAATAATATCAACCATTCCCTAGCTCAGGCAGAAATTTTTTTTTTTTTTTGGTACCAGGAATTGAACTCGGGACCTTGCACTTGCAAGGCAGGCAGCAGAACCACTGAGCCAAATCCCTGGCCTTGAGGCAGAAATTTTAACCTTGCCCCATGTGTATCATAAACTCCAACTTGTGCTGTTTTGTGCATCCTCCCAGAGGCCAGTGGCCTGCAGAGATCAGGCTAGAGGGCTCACTAAGAAAGGAAAGCTAGAAGTTTTACTTACAACATGGAAACCGCCAAGGTGACAGGATGGAGCTCATGTCCAAGGAAATGGAGGAGCCTCAAAAAGCAGCAAAGCGCCATAAGGAAAGGGGGAAGCTTTGCATGGGGGCAGCTGGGCCACCACATGGCCAGATGCAAGGCTCCAGGAGCTCTTGGAAACCCTTTACATCTGGAATCTGTAACCCAAAAAGAACTGAAGCCAGGCATGGTGACACAGGCCTATAATCACCAGCAATCTGGGAGGATGGGACAGGAGGATCACAAGTTTGAGAACAGAACAGGCAACTTAGTGAAACCCTATCTCATCATTTAAAAAGTAAATACAGTGGGCTGGGGTTGTAGTTCAATTCCAAGTCACCAAGTTCAATCCCCAATGATGCAAAAGCAAACTAACAAACACACACAGCTGGGTGTGGTGCTACATGCCTGTAATCCTAGCTACTCAGAAGGCAAAGGCAAACAGATGGCAAGTTCCAGCCCAGCCTGTGCAACTTAGTGAGACCCTGTCTGAAGATAAGAACCAACACATGTGGCTTCAGCAAGAAGCAGTCAGCCCACGGAAACAGGAAGCTAATGGCCTGGTAAATAGGAGACTGACATGGAGGAAGACGCGGGTACAATCCTTCCCTGTTCCCTGAGACCTGAGCAGAGAGAAGCAAGGTGCCTCACACCCATGCAGCTGTTGACCACCTGGGTACACAGCCAACGCACACAGGACAAGGAAGAAATCCTGGGTCCTGTCTGACTTCCCCTGCTCTCTCAGGTGCTCCAGGGACCTGAGAGATGACTCCTTGAGACATGCCTGAGCACTGCTTTGGGCAGACGCTCTGCACCTATCCCACCCTAGCCCTTGGCTCCTGCTCTGCTGCCCGACACAGACCTGCACATTGCTTTACACCATCTCCACAAAACTCCAAATTGTTTAACTGGACAGAGTCCTAGTCCAGCCTGGGCATGAATCAATTGAGAGCATCAAAGACCTTCACAAGTCAGGGGTCAGGGAATGCCTTCGGGCTCATGGTCAGTACACACTGCCAAGGCCTTCTGAACAAAGCCTGGCTGGGTACAGTCAAGAAGTCAGGCCCTCACATAAGGAAGGGCCCATCTCTCATTTTAGGAAAGAAATGACATTTCACACCCTGTCCTACTGTGGTGCACCCTTCCCCCGAGGTACAAGGACCCCTGGGGCCCCACATGAATGCAAGCTTGAACAAAAGGGAACAAACTTGTATGCCAATCGGTGCTTTCCAAATCTTCCTTCCAAAAAACCGAAGAGGTGTCTCCTCAAGTTACCACTTAACAGGAGATCTTTAACATATATTTTGCGGGGCTGGGGGTACAGCTCAGAGGTACAGTACATGCTTAGCATGCACAAAACCTTGGGTTTAGCCTGCAACACATACACGCACACACACATATTTTTTTTAAACTATGTGCCAAAAATCTTAATGGTCTCAGAATTCAAAGCATGAAGCAACATTGCTAGGATAAAACTACTATTCCCATCTGCTCGTTTATAAGAACAAGATTACTGAGCACTTAAATCCAGAAATGAGAAACAGGAAGAGAACCAGCACAAAGCCTGGTCTCACTTCAACACTCCGTCCATCACTTGCACTTGAACTAATGGCACAGACACAAAGAGTCCTGCCAAGCGTGATGAGATGCACGGCTAGCTGGATCTTCTTTACCTTTACTAATCTGACAAAATTGGTAATATACTGTTTTGATCACTGAACTGTACTACTTAAAATGAGAACTCACTACACAAGTAAAATTTCAACACTCAACTTGGTGCGTTCAAACTTAAATGTATGCGTGGATTACTGTGGAAGATGAACAATACAGGATAGAGAACAGAAATATACAACCTCAGCAAGAGAGTGCTCAGGTACCATCTTGGTGAGTATAAGAATCACGTTTATGATCCACTGCATACAGTTGTAAGAGTGATGTCACTATCGATTTTCAAACGCTCGGCATGTGAAGGAACACCTTTAGATCTGAGCCTTGAGACAGGTCTCCTGCTGCTCCTGAGCCTCATGGCGAGGGACAGTTTCCCTTTCTGCATGTAATGCCCATTTCGTGTCACCACAGCCCGGGCCCACTCCAGGCCCTCACATCCCAGGCACCCTGCCATCCTAGGCCCCTGACATTTTAGCCCCCCCACAGTGGTCCAATCTAGTACCTCACAGTCCCAGGTAAAACAGGGCATTTACTCAGCAGCCTGCAGATGTGGCGGCTGATGAGGTAATAACAGTGCTCCAACCTAACACTCATGCAGACTCCTGTGTCCTGTGATAGCTTCTGGGGTCACCGAGCAGCCCCACAGGTAGCTGTGCCACCCTCTCCCACAGAGGCACCACCGGGCCTTACTTCCAGGCTGGCTTCTTCCTCGTCTGGTGTGGCATCAGGTGCCCGCAGTATCTCTTCTGCAGACACCTTCTTCAGTTGTTTGCTCTTTTTCTTTGTCACTTCAGGAGATTTTCTCTTCCGTTTCGCCATCCTGCAATGGAGAAAGCACACTGCTAAATACATAGAAAATAACAGGTCTTAGGCGACAGCAGTGTTTTTAACAAAGGAAGAGGGTGCTCTTTCACCCTAAGAGAAATACAAAGGTATTTCATAAAGTGTGGAAAAGATATTGAAGTCAAATTTCTAGTTCATCACCATTTTAACAATGTGGTGATTCCCTTTTTGTTTTCTGAGTGTTCTTATTTAACACAGCTGTAATTAATACATGGATTATATATTCTGTATTTCTAACTCAACACAAACACAAAATTCTTAAGATGAAGACATTTTTAGTGACAGTATTATAATTCTCCAGAGGTAAAAATAGGCGTATTCCTTAATCCCTATTGCCTACTAAGTATTTGGGGTTCCTTTCATTTTCTATGATTCTAGACCGTATTCCTACACAGGCTGAGATGAGTCATGCGCCCTCCCACAAGCATCTGGCCATGCCTGGGCTGAGGACCTGGGGAGCCTGGGATGTCTCCTCCAGGCCTGGGCAGCACCAGCCAGGCCATTTGTGAGGACCAACGTCAGACAAGCAATGTGAGGCACAAGATGCTGCACATCGTGTCTATTTTCTCAAGCACAGTAGTATACAGGACTCCACAGACAAAAACAGAACAGAAGTCCCTGAACTATAAAGCCAATTCCCACTGCAGGACTGCGTGACAAGGAGCCTGGAGGCATGTGGGGGTGGGGTGGACAGCCCTGGACCTGAGGGAGGGATGCTGGCTGCTGCTACTATTGGGACCTCTGGGGGGACCAGGCTGCTTCCAGGACAAGGAAGGGAAACTGGCAGCCCAAAACACCCGCCCTTCGGGAGCTCACATTTTTATGGTGGCAGTGGGATATGCACATATGCCAGAAAGATGAGAATGCCCATGTAAAATAAATAAAGACTGGGTATGAGGGCCCAGGCCTGCAATTCCAGCTGCTATGGAAGCTGAGGCATGAGGATCAGGAATTTGATGCCAGCCTGGGCAACTTAATGAGACTTTGTCTCAACATAAACTAAAAAGGGCTGGGTGTGTAGCTCAGAGGTAGAACCCCAAGGTTCAATCCCTAGTACCCAACAACAAACCAAACAAACCAAAACACCGTAAGGCAGGACAGAGTTGTGGGAAGGTGACCACCCTAAAAGGATGATCAAGCTGGGGATGTAGCTCAGGGGTAAAGTGCTTGCCTAGCATGCACCAGACCCTAGGTTTCATTCCTAGCCCTGAAAAAAAGAGAAAACACGATGATGATCATATGGAAGGGGTAGTGACATCGCTAGAGACCAGATTTGGGGCCCAACACCATACTGGTGAGGAAAACCCAGGGTATAAGGTGAACCTGGGACACAGAGCAAACTAGCACTGAGGACTCCCTGTCCCATATGGGGCCAACACAGGTGACAGCACATTGAGAGAATATTCTATTCTGGAATCAGAAAACGGCAAGCTCTGTGTTTTTTAATTAGGCCTTATCTTTAAAAAGCATTTGAAGCCAGAGGCTACAGATTTCAATTACCAGTATAATGAGAAATCTTGAATGAAGGGGAGACTGTTGACACAGGGGCATAAAAACACAGAGGATGGGGCTGGCCAATTACCTTGTCAGGAAAATAAGGAAAGTTCAGCAAGTATTTATACACTAGTTATTACAGAGGTTAAATTTTTCTTCATTCTGTGAATTACCATTAAAAAATATAATCAGAGGCTGGGGATTTAGCTCAGTGGCACCATGCCTGCATCACAGGTGAAAGGTCCTGAGTTCGATATCTATCTATAGATATATATAATCACTAAGCCTATTCACTAAAAAGAGAAGAAATACTTTTCCATACTATTGAGCAATTTCTGTTAATACTTCAGAGAGATAGTGACTCACAACTTAGAAATAATGAATGTCCATTGTGGAAAACAACCTTTACTTTCATTTTTGGTGAACTGACTTTCAACAAAGATGCCCAGACAATTCAAAGAACAGTCTCTTCAACAATGCGCTGGGAAAGTGTATCGCCACATAGGTAGCAAAGAATGCAGAGCCCTACCATACACAAAAATTGACTCAAAATGGATCAGAAACCTGGATGTAAGAGATAAAAACATAAAATTCTTCGAAAAAACGTAGGCACAATCTTCATGACCTTAGGCAATGACCTCTTAGACACAAAACCAAAAACATAAGCAATGAAAGAAAAAAATAGATAAAGTGGACTACAGAAAAACTGAACACTTTTGTGCATCCAACAATACCAGCATGAAAGGAAATGACACCTTACAGTATCAGAGAAAGTATGTCCAAATCATACATTTGACAAGAGACTTGTATGTATCCAGAATATATGAGGAACTCTTACAACTGAACAATAAAAGACAACTCAATTTTAGAATGAACAAAGGCTTTCAACACATATTGCAGCACATGAAAAGATGCTCAACTTCATTAGTTTCTAGGAAATGCAAATCAAAGAAGATACCACTTCACACCCACTGGCATGGCTAGAATAACAGACAGATGACTTGAGTGGGGGATGTAGCTCAGTACACAAAGCCATGGAGTGGATCCCCAGCACCACAAAAAAGAAAAAGAAAACAAGACAGCCACGTACGGAGACAAAAACATGTAATCCCACTACTCAGGAGGCTGAGGCAGGAGGACTGGGAGTTCAAGGTCAACCTGGGATACAAAGTCAGACCCTGTCCAAAAACAAACAAACCAGACAGATAATAATAAATTTGGGGGAGGGGGGTTGAGACAAGGTCTCACTATGTAGTTCAAACTGGCCTTGGACTCAGCAATTCTCCTGCCTCAGCCTCAAAGTGCCGGTATTACAGTGGGCCACCACACCTAACTAGACAATAGTAAATATTGACAAGGGTGGTGGAGAAACTGAAATCCTCCTTTATTGGTGGTCTAAATGACTGACTACTGTGGAAAACATTCTGGTATTTCCTCAAAAAATGTAAAATACATGGTTACCATGTACCCAGGCAATTCCACCCCTCAGTACACATTCAGAAGAAATGAACCGCACACATAAATGTACACTAGTGTTCACAGTGGAAATAACCTAAATGCTCACCAAAAAAAGGTATCATTTATAATTCCACCTACGTGAAGAATTCAGAAGAACCACGTCACAGAGACAGAAAGGCACCTAGCAGTGTTTTAGGGGGAGGCCAAGGGGAGGAAGAGCTAGAGTCACTCCCAATGGGTACAGGGTGTACTGGGAAGAGGAAAATGGTCTGAAGTTAGATGGTGCTGAAAGCTACAGAACCCCAAAAAGTCTGTTCTTGAAAAAAAAAGCTAGAATCGATCTCAAGTTACCACAAATGTAAAACTATAATGTTCTAGTGCTGTTCAAAAAAATACTAAGTGGCAGAAAATACGTGTGCAAAGATGCTTGTTGTAGAAAGCCACATCTGTGCCATCGAATAGGACATCATGTTGCCAGCCGAGGTGGAGCTTCACAGCTACGCCAGTCGCAGGGGCAGCCTGGCAGCACCGTCACCCGGCACCACTGCCAGAACACTCGAGGCCCTGGATGCTGTCGTTTCCCCACAGGTCTTTCTGCAGATACCCAGTGACTGAGATTGACTGCTAGGAAGCAATCCAAACCTAAGTTTTCCCCTCCATTTGCTGGTTGGGAGGAAGATGATTCTGAGGGCTTTGGGGATGTTTAGATAGCTACTCATCATTTCCACTGACACCAAAATCAATACTGGATGTCATACTCACAGAGCCCTTACTAAGATCAGAGCCTGCCCTGCATGCTTTACATGCCCTAACCCATCCATCTTTGTGACTCTGAAGCAGGCACACAGACAAGGAAACTGAGGCACTATAGGGATGGGAAAGGGGGTGGTACCACAGACTCCTGCAGTGGATCCTGCTCTCCTGCCAGCCTGTACAATGTCTGTGAGATAGGACAGTGGAAAATAAAGACACAGAGACAGACTCGAGAGAAGCTGAGTCTTGGGCTGATCTAAGCTCCTCTACACAACAGGACATCTAGTGTTTATTTATTACAAGCCTGGGAAGGGGGAAAGCTGGGCAGGCCTGGGGACATCTGCTGATAACAAGTACCAAGCAGGCAGGACTGCAGAATGTGGGCACAAGCATATCTTTGATGAAGACAACAGACGGTTAATTCGGTTAATTTGGAAGGGAGGAATTTAGTCGGAGCTGAGCTGACCTTGGCTGGAAGTGAACTTAGCTGACTGAACTACTTTTAGGGTAACACAGCCGAATTATGGAGGGGTGAGAAGCTTGTGTCACTACAGCCTGCTAATACTAGGCAGAGGTGTCTGCTACAAGGCGCAAGGTAGGAAACCAACAGATTACTTGTAAGATCAGTAAACAATCACACATTACATGTAAGTGTGTTATTTAGAAACACAGAAGTAATTCCAACAGGAACACTCACACACATTACACTGTGCTCACCTCCCAGGAGTGTGTGGGAGTTGTCTGCAAGTCATTTAGAAAGGTAAGTTTTTTTAGCTACATGCACACAATGACTTTGACAATTAGACACGTTGAAAAACGTCAATTTTAGCTGGACATAGTGGTACATACTAGTAATCCCAGCACTCTGGGAGGCTGAGAAGTTCAAGACCAGCTTGGGCACAGGACTCAGTGACACCCTGTCTCAAAGTTAAAAAAAAAGGGTGGGGGTGGCTGGAGATGTGGGTCAGTACAAAGGCTGTGAATTCAATCCCCAGTACTGCCACACACAAAAAAAGTCAACTTTTACATAAAAATTACATTGTATAGTATTGGCCACTATAGGGTATAGAATGGTGAAAAGGACATTATCATGGTCTGCTAACAGGAGAACAAATTGGCATACCCTTTCTACAAGGTAATTTCACAATATTTATCAAGTGCTTTGGCCCAGTAATTTCACTTCTAGGAACTCACCCTAATAAAATAATAATGGACAGTGATTTGCATATACATGGATGGTAATAGCAACACTATCTCTAATGCTAAAAAACTGAAAGACCGTAATTGTCCAACAGTAGTATGCTGGTTAAATGAATGAGTCTTGAACAAAGCAACACTCACAAAACCAGTAGCAACTGTCATCTCAAGGAACATTTAGTCATGTGAGTAAATAAATGCACACTACATCGTAAAATGCAAGGTTGGGTTGAAATCCATGGAAATGCTGTATAACTCTCATTTTGTAAGAAAAATTATAGACAAATTGTACACAAAGGAAAATACTAGAAGAAAATACATCAAATTATTAACATTTTATAAGGTACAATCATATGAATGCTTGTTTTCTTACACCTTTCCATAATTTTTACAATAAAAGCAGAAGAAAAAAATTCAGATATAGCGCGAAAGCTACATCTTCAGTGAAGCAATTCCATCAGCAGGAAGCAGACAGTCTGTGTGAGACAAGCCCAGGGAAGACTGGAGAGCTGAGGAGCCCAGCTTCCACCATGCCTCAGCTGAAGGTAGCAAAACTAGGCAAAGCTGCAGATCTGCAGGGCTGGAAAACATCTTCACAAGGCCTCGAAAAGATAAGTCAGCCTACAGGAAAACACACCACACACATGCATTTTAAACCTAAAAATACCAGCCACAGTACCTTTTGGCTGCTCTCACTCAGGCCATCTATATTACCTCAGCGGTGCTCTGGGCAGGACCCACAGGGGCATGTCCCACACCACCAGGCAAAGACTCCCTGAAGGTGGATCTGGGCCCTGCTACCTGCAGACCTCTAAGAGCTGGGTGGACAGAGCAATCATGGCTCCCACACCTGGCCTGTGGCTCTCCTCCAGCCCCAGGCCACACTCAAAACTCCCAATCTAGGTTATGGCCTCCCAGACAACCTGCTTCACCCTCTCCCTCCCAAGACCTATCTGAACCCACTCACCACAGTCACTCCGGGCCCACCATCATCCCAAAACCAATTCCACCTCCTATGTCTTCAACTGGCCTCCCAGGGACTCTGGAATCCAGTACTCCTTCAGCCTCACTAAGACCTGCAGTCTACAGAATCTGCTATAATTCAATGTCCTTAATCCCTCCCTCACTGTTCTCACTTACACAATTTAATTTCCACAGTCCACTGCTATAATCACCGCCTTATACATTTGTTCTCAACTCTCTCGTGCCTCTCTCCCTTACTTGCCTGCAAAAGCCTACCTCCAGTACCTACACTTGCAGTGTGTCTATACAAAGCCGAGAACTTCTCATGGCCAGTTTTAAAACCCACAGGACCAGGCTGATAGGGCTGCATGTTACATTCAGAACCTCTAACCTGAAGGGAATCTTTAGAGCTGCACAGTGATTGTACCACCTCTCCCCAATCCAGCCCTTCTCCCAGACTCATTCATTCGCCTCTCCTGGCCCTCACACCTCCAACATCTCTGTTCTCAGTTACTTCCTGACCACTGAGGACACAGAAGCAATCAGGGGAACTTCCACAAATTCCAACCACACTGTGTGCTAACCAGCACTGTGTGTTCTCCTATCCAACCCAGAACCTTCACCTGTGCTGCGGACCCCACTCTTCACCCCCTAAAGGCATTACTGGAAGCACTCTTCTTTCCTTCATCCTTAGCTCCTCCCTTCTCTTAAACCTAGTACAACCTCCTATGTCTAACCACTCTCCTTCTCGACTCCTTCAATGCACACGTCATTTCTCAGGAACTTTTTTCCTCTTCTCTCCTGCACCCTGTTCCCAGCTCATTTACCACAATGACACCCATGTACCTAAGACCCAATGCTGATTATTCTCAGTATGAAACTTGTAGGACCCAACAGCAGCATGTGATAGTTCCTCCATCTTCCCCTTTGACTGGCATTTTTCATCTGTCCAGCACAGACAGCACACCCTCCTGGGTTTCTAATAGCTTTAGGGCCCTGATCTTGAAGCCTGAAGGCCCCAGGGTCAATGCTTAGCTACGTCACTCCCTCTGTTGCCCCAACAGACATGGAGCTTCATATTTCTTCCTCCTCACCCAGATTTATTTAGGTAGAACTGATGAATAAAAATTGTATAAATCCATGGTATACAATGTGAGGAATTGACTTACATGCACAATGTAAACTGAGTTCAACAATCAAGAGAATTAACACATCCATCACCACATGGTTGCCGGTGTGTATGTGTGGAGGAGGTAGGAGCATCTTAGACCACGTGGCTTTAAATACCAGCTAGATGTTGATGGCCTCCATCTTCGTGCATTGGAGGCTTCTTCTCAGTCACCTCCCTGAACAACTACCCATATGTAAAGCTACAGAGATAGCTAGCTATATGTCTCTCATATGCACACATCATCTCAGACTTCACTCATCACAAGCACAGCTCCTGATCATCCTGCACAAACCTGATCTTCCGTGGTGTTTGCCTCCCGATAAAGTCACCTGATAATAGCCAGATTTTAGTTCAAACCAAACCTTGGGGCCACCCACAACTTCTCTTGCTTTATCACCTAGCCATCCAACCGCCACAAATCCCTGGTGGCTCTACCTTGGAAATGCATTCAGAATCTGTCTTTCGCCGCCTCTTCTTAGCATCTTGGTCCGGAACCTGAGCTCACAACCAGATCGACTCAAGACCTGTGACTGATTCCTCACTTCTGCCCTGGCCCCTCCAACTCATGTCCAGCCCAGCATGCAGTGTCATGTTAAAATATCCAAGTCAGATTATGCTTCCCCTCTGCTTGAAAACTCCCAAAGGTTTCCCTTTCCACTTGGAAAACTCAAAGTCCTAGCACCATCTCTGACTTCCATCTCTAGGCCTTCACTTCCTTTCCCCCTCTTTTCTTCATTTAGTCCCAGGCACACTGGGTAACTTGCTGGTCCCCCGCACCTGTTGCCTCTACATGGATGTTGCAGCTACCAAGGGTTCTCCCTCTCTCATCTGCTTCGCCTCTCCACACTCCATCCCTACCCTGATTTTCCTCCATGGCACTTATCACCGGCTGAGTGATCTTATTCATTTGTCTGTCTTCTCTAGAATCCAAGCTCACTAGATCCGACGTGTTTCTTATTTGTTTACTATTAGAACTGCGCCCACACACAAGAGAAATCCAAGAAATATTTTCTGAACAAAGAACGAACGAATTCATGAACTCACGTTGGAAGGAAACGCAGAGCGTGCTTACCGTACAAAGCCAGGTACAAAGCCAGCGCCAGCGCGAAAAAGCCTCAGCAGGTAACGAGGGCTCTGAGTCCTAAGCCACAACTAAAGAGGATGAGAGACGCTACAGCTCGGGTTGGCCCCGCGCCGGTGGAACCCAGGAGATTTCAGCTCCCGCGCACAGGCCAGCCAAGTACTGACTATGCGGGCCCTCGTCTTCCCGGGGCCGCCCGCGCGCCACAGAAAGGTCCCCGCGCACCCACGTGGAGCGGCAGCAGCCAACGGCACTCGCAGCGCCTCCTAAATTCACAGGCTCCTCAGCGGTCCCCACCTACAAGAGCCCGGGATTGGCCGCAGCCCACGCACTTACTTGCACTCCCAGCGAGCGCCTAGCTGTACAGCCCAGGCTGGCTTCCGGCAATCCCCCGTGCCTGAGGTAGGCGCCAGTCCCGCCTTCGGACACTCGGCGCCTTCCATTGGGCGAGATCTGCCTCACGTCCTCTTGCCGACCAATGGCAAGCGGCTGCCGCACAGAGGCGGTGCCCAGACTGGGCTCGAGGTGATGGCGTCATCACGGAGACGTCGGTTGCTGGGAGAGCAACTGGTTGCCAGGGCAACTTGCCTTTCTGCAGACGCGGGCTGGCCGGCTGGAGAGAAGGTCCACCCGGGACATGGAGTAGGTGGGCACTCGCTGTGGGAGTCCAGCTCATGCTGATTTTTTTAAATCCAGGGTACAGAAGGACTGATGATAAAAAACAAAAAGAGAGTAGGAACTGTTACGCCAGCGCTTGTCACCGTTTAAAACGTCAGCAGTGTTACACAAAGACTGTGAAGATGTGTCTGCAAGAGCTGCAGCTCAGGTGAGAGACCGCCGGGAGGTCGGGGCAGGCAATGGGGAATCCCGGTGCCTTAAAAGGTGAGGTCAGCACGGATGTGAAGAACAATCTTCCGTTTAATCTTTCAATTCTTAAAAATAACAATGTAGGGCCCGGGATTTAGCTCAGTGGTTTTGCCGCCTGCTGCGCAAGCTCAAGGACCCGAGTTCGATCCCCGGTACCAATAAATAAATAAATAAATAAATAAATTACTAAAGATGGAAACAACCTAAAGGCCACCAAAAATAGAAAATGATATTGGGGCCGGGGATTTAGCTCAGTGGTTCCGCCGCCTGCCTCGTAAGCAAAAGGACTGTAGTTCAATCCGCGGTACCAAAAAAATAAAATTATTTATTTAGGTGTGGTGGAACATGCCTGTTGTCCTAGCTACTCCACAGGTTTACCCACTAGGATTGCAAGTTCGAGCCCAGTCGGGGCAAGTTAGTGAGACTCTGTTTCAAAATAATTTTTAAAATATTTTTTGAAAATAGTAAATTAGAAGGGCTAGCATTGTAACTCAGCGATAGAGCACTTACTTGTCTGGCATGTGTGAGGTCCTGAGTTCCATCCCCAGCATTAGAAAAAAAATAATGGGGGCTTGTTCTCCTATGGAATACCAGATTAAAAAAAGAAAGAAAAGAGAGAAAGAAAGTCTGGTTAATGGCGTGAGAGTGGTCCTTTAGTAGTAAAATATGGTGAAGCCAACCATCAAAGGAAAACAGGAACTGAGGAATGTTAGCTTGACATTTAGGGCCATTTTCACTCAGGGATCAGTGGGTTCTGGAAAAGGCAGCTGAGAACCTGAAATACTGGACAGGCATTCTCACAGGTCTATGGTTCCAGGGACTGGAGACTGTTGTCCCATCTTTGGGTTGGAATCGGGAAAATCTGCATAGTAGGGGGGAATTGAAAGCAGTAATAGACTAGCCCTGAGGGGACTTCATGAAATTCACCTGAACTTCTTTTTTTTTTTTTGATACTGGGGCTCAAACTCGGGTCCTTGTGCTTGCGCAGCAGGTGGCGAAACCACTGAGCTAAATCCCAGGCCCTCACCTGAACTTCTGAAAGTGCATTTCTGTGAGTCAGGATTTCTTACTGCTACCACTAGATAGGTGAGAGAAGAAAAGGCAAATTTTAGAATGTGATATCACTTGCCTCAAATTGTAATTGCTTATGGATTACATCCTATAGAATTAACTGTGTACCTAAAAGGACAACACTTTTTTTTTCTTTTTATTTTGTTTCTTTCATTTTTTTGTGAAAAAAGTCTTGCTCTGTACTCTGGGCTGGCCTTGAACTCGAGATGGTCTTGCCTCAGCCTAATGAGGGCTGGGATCAGATGTACACACCACCACACCTGGTGAAAACAATGCGTCTAAAGTCAGGAAAAACAATATATGGTTTTCATTGCACAAAGGATTGGTAACCTACCCACTCCTAATGAAAACTGATTTCATGGGTCATAAGGGACAGCTTCAGTCACCTGTCAATATGAGGTCCAATGGTCAGGGTCTCAGTCCCTGCAGGGCCAGTGGTACAATGGCCCTCCTTGCATGGCATGTGGGGCCTCTTGGTGTTTGCCATGGAAATATAGCATGTTGGGTCTTTCAACTGCAGGGCAGCCTTCATTATAGGCCCAATGTGCTGCATAGCCTTCTTTTGTTGTGCACCCAACTCAGAACTCAAAATCAGTGAGGTCTGGTGGTGCATACCAGTAATCTCAGCTAGCCAGACAGGGGAATGTCAAGTTCAAGGCCAGTTGGAGCAACTCTGAAAGACCCGTCTCAAAGTGAAAAACAAAAAAGAGCTGGGGATGTAGCTCAGCACTTCTTAGATTCAGCCCCCAGTACTGCAATCAATCAGACATCCAAGCTACCCAACAAATTGGTGGTAGCCATGTGAAAGATGACATAAGTGACCTCCAAAATCCAAGAACACTAACCATGAGAAGCGACACTCCCACTTAATGGTAGAAAACTGTTCTTGTGTTCCATTTTTGCATCCAAAATGAACCCAAAATTTAGCAACCCAGAACATTTATTTTTTCCCATCTCTTGGGTCAGGACTGTGGGCAAAGCTTGGTTCTGTGCCTTTGCCACCAGGTCTGTCAGATGCCGAGGCAGAGGCAGAATGTCTCCCAGGGCCATGGTGACATCTGAAGGCTTGTCTGGGACCATGCACTCCCAAGCTTACTCGCTAGTTTACTGGGAGGATTCACTCCTCTAAGGGCACTGGACTGAGGGCTCCAGGCCCCCACTGCCAGGTTACCAGGGGGCTCTCCACAGGACAGCTTAAGATGTGGCAGGTGGCTTCCCTGTAAGTGAGCAGGAAAGGGCACACACAAGACACAAGTACAGCCTGTTTTTGACCTCATCTCACAAGTGACATCTCATCATTTCTGCTGTCCCCTCTTCACAAGGTCAGCTCACCCAGGGTGAGGAGTCAGCAGGAAGAGGAAGTGGGAATAACCAGGGGCCACATGAGAGCCTGCCTGTCTCTAGGGGGGAGCATCCAAAAACATGGCCCCAGGATTAGGGGGATGTTCTGTCATGCCTAGACCAGTGGACACAAAAGGCTTCACTCGTGGCTGAACACTGAAGCTCAGGATTTCAGATCCTCCTCCCTGACACACACATCCTGCCAGATCACCCAGAGTGCTTGCAACCTGCTCTGAACCAGGTCTGATTAGTATGCTGTCATCAATATAGCTGGCACTAGAATGGCAAGACAACTGGTGTCCCTTTAGACACTGCCCATTTAGACATTGTCCACTTACAGGCTATAACAACAAATAGGAGTTAACACTAGAAAAGGTAATAAATGTGACTCATTCTCCCACCCTTGTGAATATACATGGCTTTTAATTCTTGATCAACAGTCACATGCCCAGTCCCAAAGACTGTGCCAATCTATCTGAACAGAAAGCATGGGCATTATGGCCACATTTAATGGCTGCAATCAACTAGTGACAGACATGCCATCCGTCACACGATCCATATAGAGCCACATATCCTTGCTGTGTCTGATAGAACTGGTCCCCACAGTCCCATCCAGGTGAGGTGTGGCCTCCACTTCTCTCTCCATCTCAGTGGCCTTCCCTTGGCTGTCCTTCCTCACTGCTGCCTATTCCATGGGTCAGAGACCCAATAGCCATGTCTGTCAGCTCTGAAGTATCCCCACCCCAATCTGTACCTAGGGAGGGATTAGTGCCCACAGGGTGAGCCTGTGGCTTCACCTGACCTACTGTGGGACAAATCTGGGCCAGGACTCTGCCATTAGGTTCCATGATGGGAGCCAGGAACCTGGCACCAGTGTAAATCCACACCCTGTTTCTAACAGCTGATCCTGGCTCTGGGACTGACTTTCTCCAGTGTATGGTTGCTGTGAAGAGGACTCGATGCTATGTATTTTATACATTTGCCACGGCCCTGAAGGATCCTGGCTTAAGGGGGTCCAGAATCCATTTCAGTGGACGGATTCTGGGCCTAAGAACCAGTTCAGTGTGCAAACCTGCCAGGGCTAACATTTCCACTGCTAGTGACTGACAACAGCCTTCCGTGCACCAGCTCGTGATCTGTTTCAGTTATACAGACCGAGCCACACCCTGGTTCCCTGTGCATCTCACACCTGGAATACCAGTCTAGTGGCCACTGCCACAATTCCTGCAGTCCTTGGCCCATGGCTGTCACTCTGGCCTTACTGGCTGTTATGGGGTGACTTGGTGCACCTCTGATGGGAAGTTGTAGGATGGCCTCTGCTGTTCCAAACTCTAATGTACCTGATGGACAGCAGGAGCTCAGCTCTTCTACCATGAGCCCTGGCCTGCAGGGGACAATGCTGCTGGCCTTGTCAGCCATGCTGTGTCCCCCTCACTACCAGTCCACCTTGGCTTGCTTGAGGGAAAGCCAGGCTTGGGGCTCTGGGAAACTGTCAGCTGTGGGTGGTCTGACAACTCTGTTCTCACATGGACCACCTCGCATGCCTCCTGCCTCCCTGTGCATGCTATCAAGGCAGTTCCAGGTGCCCACCTTATCTGCTGAGTCACATCCCAATGCCAAGGCTCAAATAGTTATCTTGAGTGAGGATATAGAAAAATACAATTTTTGCATTTTTGGTTTTTTTGGAATGCTGAAAATACCTAGAAGTAAGGACATCCCAGACTCCCTGAAGATTCCAGTGTGAGAAAGAGGTTTATGAATATCATCTCCCACCAAGAAGAACCAGGGACCTTGGAGAAATGGTGCAGGGCTGTGGCAGGGAGAAGATGGGTGGGCCTGGAGTATCTTCTTAGGCTGGTCAGTAAGGAAAGAAGACAATAACAAAATAGATGAGTGGCACAGGATAGGGTTCAAGGAGGGCCCCTCACACACCTCACGGTGGAAATGGGGGCCGCCACTCAATCTGCCAAGTAGCTTCTTTACTCTTGTCACAGATAAAGAATTCTAGGATGTGTCGGTGTGAGGCATAGGCAGATTTACTAGGCAGAATTAGAATGTAAGGCGGAATGGGAAAAGGACTGCACCTTGAACAGTCTGAGGGGGCTCACTGGGATGCAGGGGTTCAGACTGGTCACTCCCAAAAGCACAAGGCCATATTTCATGTATTAGTTGTGGTGGGTAAGGGATGCAGTGATCATTATCTCAGTTCTTGTTTCCTAGGTCCAGAGGAATCCTTATGGCTCAAGGGGCAATCAGTTCCTACGAGATTACCTTCCTTACTCAGCAGGGACACTGCCTCAATTTTCATCATGGGATAATTGCTCCTGCTTTGGGAGAGGTGATCTCATCATGCAGTAGCCTTCAAGGCTCTGCTTTTCTGGAATCTGGGGTGATTGTAAGTTTGGAGACTTCCAGCTGTCATGCCAGGGGGTCTGGATGTTGGGAAAGCTAGCAGGTGGTGCTCCTGTGTTACAGCTGAATGGGCCAATAATAGTCCAGGTTCTTGTATACCACAAGGAAAGAATTGCCAAGTGTGTACCCAGTGGG